CAGAAGTAGAGATGAATGTCTTAAGAGATGCAAGGGCACATACAATGTGGACAGTGTACCGTAACCATCATACGCGTTAAAATTTCCTTCATAAGATGTCGATGTGCTAGGAGATGATTTTACATGGTGTATGTAGACATGTGTTATAAATTATGTATTTATTGTTGTCCTTTAACTCTCCATTATAAATGATATATTTTTATGTTTGGTATTTTGAAACTTATTGCTACTTATAGATGATTCACGTTTATTTATATATTTTTTTAATTGCCAATTTACCCATTCTTCATAGTTATATATATATATATATATATATAATTCTAATTATTTATATTCAATTGCATAAAATTAATTACGTAAAAAAAAGTAAAAAAAAAATTTATACTATTCACAACTCAAGTCTTAGTAGAAACAAACACAAACTCAAAAAGATTCTCATATCAAATTATAACTCAAATGTATACAGTCAAACACAAACTCAAGTTACAATTTAAACTCAAATTACAACTTAAACTCAAGTTATAACTTAAACTCAACTCAAAATTTACACTCAAATTACCTTAATTCAAAAATTGCAAAGGAACAAGCCCTTAGTGTTTTAAATTTATCAATTTTTTTACAATGTAATCCAGTCAATGATTGACCTCAATTAGGATCCTCCAATCGGCCAACCAGCAAAAGGTTTTAGTGCATTTTGTACCCGAAAAAAGGGGGGGAAAAGGCATTCCGACAACTAACTGACACACATTAGCTATAGGATCATGGCTGCAACAAATTTTTAAGCTTACATCCCAATTGTAAACCACTAACAAAAACTACAATTTATATTATGAAAATATTTGAACATAATTGTATAAACAATGATGATGATGGTGACACAATATATATATATATATTTGATAAAATGTAATAAAATCTACATGGTCAAAATTAAAAAGTAGTCATAAAGTATTATACAAAATAATAAACAATTATTTTATTTTATTTATATATTTTTTTAATTGCCAATTTACCCATTCTTCATAGTTATATATATATATATATATATAATTCTAATTATTTATATTCAATTGCATAAAATTAATTACGTAAAAAAAAGTAAAAAAAAAATTTATACTATTCACAACTCAAGTCTTAGTAGAAACAAACACAAACTCAAAAAGATTCTCATATCAAATTATAACTCAAATGTATACAGTCAAACACAAACTCAAGTTACAATTTAAACTCAAATTACAACTTAAACTCAAGTTATAACTTAAACTCAACTCAAAATTTACACTCAAATTACCTTAATTCAAAAATTGCAAAGGAACAAGCCCTTAGTGTTTTAAATTTATCAATTTTTTTACAATGTAATCCAGTCAATGATTGACCTCAATTAGGATCCTCCAATCGGCCAACCAGCAAAAGGTTTTAGTGCATTTTGTACCCGAAAAAAGGGGGGGAAAAGGCATTCCGACAACTAACTGACACACATTAGCTATAGGATCATGGCTGCAACAAATTTTTAAGCTTACATCCCAATTGTAAACCACTAACAAAAACTACAATTTATATTATGAAAATATTTGAACATAATTGTATAAACAATGATGATGATGGTGACACAATATATATATATATATTTGATAAAATGTAATAAAATCTACATGGTCAAAATTAAAAAGTAGTCATAAAGTATTATACAAAATAATAAACAATTATTTTATCACTAATATAATGAGATAATGTATTTTTAACCATAACTTCCCCTCAGCTATTGCATTAATAAAGTTTGCATATATATATATATATATATATTTTTGCTGAAACATTAATAAAGTTATTTGTGCCAAATTATTTAAAGATATCTCAAGTCACACCAAAACGATATCCAATAAGAAAATGTTGAGTACCCAAACGAAGATTTATTTCTATTAGACACAAAAAGTTTGAGTTCCACTTCTCTCCCGTTTGGACAGATAATATTATCCTATCCAATATCGTATGTTTTCTTTTTGTGCCATTATACGTCAAAAGAGTACTTTTGCTGCACTATACCAGCTACTACACATTATATATGCATATGCAATAAGGGTGTGTTCGGCTGCCTAAAAAATTAAAAAAAGATAATTTGAATTTTAATTTTATTCAAGTTCATATTCTTTTAAGTTTGAATTCGAGTTTGAACTCGAGTTCAAATATCCCCTTCAACTCGAGTTCAAAAACTCGAACTCAAATTAATGAACAATATTTTTTTTATTCTTAAAAATATTATAACTTTTTCGTTTTAATCATGATTGAGATGATTTTTTTTCTATGCGTTGACAACGAAAAGACGAATAAAACCTCATCTATATACCCTATTAAAATTTTTCATTACTATTGAGTTTTTATTAAAATACTATCTAAATACAAATTTAAGTTTTGACTCACTCAAACACAAATTAAAAAAAAAAAAGATTCTTATCTCAAATCATAACTCAAATGTACACAACTAAACACAAACTAAAGTTACAACTTCAACTCAAGTTATAACTCAAATTCAACTCAAGTTATAACTCAAATTCAACTCAAAAACTATACTAAGTCACACTCTAAAAGAACAGGCCTAAATAGATATCAATGATCAAAAATAATTTCAAATATAACACGTGAAAACATAATTTGAGATGTAGAGACTTCCGTCTTTTTCACTTTAAAAAAGAAATACCTTTTTTTTTCCTCCACTAACCAATTCAACACAAGGAATGAATACAAGAAAGAGAGCACTATCTAGAAACACAATAATTTTTTTAAAACTTTAATTATAGAAATGTTTTTGGGTCTTTTTTTTTTTTTAACTATTGATAGAAATAGATCCTATTGCAGAAATTCTAAATACTTTTTTTTTTCACTAGCCAATTTAATTTACAATGAACAAATTAAGAATTCCATTATCTTATCTGTGAGATTAAATTTTATGCAATTATTATGTAGCTATTTTTTAATTCACTATAATGTGATCTCCCTATAGAGAATTATATTTTGTCAATAACGTATTTTTCACAATAATAATAATAAAGATTAAAATAGCCATTGTTTGGATCGTTTTTTATGTATCATTCTCTTCTCCAAGTAATAATTATAATTATAAAAGCTAACTATTATAACTACCATAAGAATTATACAAAGCACTGTTCTTACTCTTGGTGATTATTAGTATTAGAAGAAAAAAAATTGACGTTACTAGTGTTATTAAAAGCTTATACCAACAAAAAAAAAGAGCTTATACCAACATTGTGCTTCTTCTGTCTTAATTGGTAGATCCAGTCAATATCCGAGGTCAACTCTTTTATAGATTGTGATCACTTGCGACAATTTGTGTAATTTATTAATTATTAATGAAATTTTCCATAAAAAAAAGAGCTTACATCAACATTCAACAAAGCAAACAGGCCTTGTTCACTTTAGGGATTTGAGTTTTCAATTCGAGCTGAGATGTGACATTTTCTAAGAATTTTTAATTGTAGCAGAAAAAAATTAGATCTGATATTTTTTAAGAGCTTTTAACTGTAAAAACTTAGAACTGAAAACTCAAATTGGTAAAAGTAAAAATACACTAATTTTTTTTTATTTAAAAAAAACTAAGGACCTGTTTGGTAATATTTTCAAAATGATTTTGTTTTCAGTATCAAAGTGAAAATGAGATTGTTTTGAAAATCATTCTCGGACCGATTTTGAAATTGCTTTTGATTAATTTTTTAAAAGATTGTTTTGAGTATAATGAAAAAATAAAAGAGTATTTGGTTATATTTATAAAATTTTGTTTCGAGTACACGTAATTAATAATGTTAAATTAATATATTAAGTAATTAATAATTGATAATCACTTAGCAAATAAAAATTAATATATTAATAATACAATAATGATGAATATATTATAATCAATGAGTATATTAGTAATTAAACTATATATATAATGAATTAGTATGCTAAATAATTAAAAAAATAGTAATTAATAATTAATTATAAGTAATTACTATGTTAGTAACTTACTCATATTTATTAGTTTATAAGTAATCAATAAGTGTATTAAGAAAAATAATTAGTATACAAATAATATATTAATATTCTATTTACTATTTAAATAATTAACTTTTAGTTACATAATTAAATAATTATTTAATTAGTTACTAACATTTATTTAATAAGCTATTATTTGATACATTGCATGATCAATTTTTGATAATTATTATTTAAATAATGATGATTTCTAATTATTAATTACTATTGATTAGTATATTAAAATTTATTATATAATTTAATATTAATTATCAATTGAGTAATTATTATTATTTTATTTATTAACGATTTACTAATTAATAGATTATAATTAATATATATGATTGATATATTAATTATTAGTTATTTATTTAATAAACTATTATTAATTATTTATTAATTATAGTCATATTCATTTATTAATTATTAATTATTATATTATTTATTTAATAATTAATAATTTAATGTAACATTATTGATAAGTACTAAAAAATAAAAATAAAAAAAAAATAAATTCTAATTATTTTTTAACTTCTTTTACAAAAATAATTTTTATTATTATTTATTATTTTTATTTTTAAAATATTTAATAATAAATGCGATTTGTAGATCGTTTTTAGTTTTGTATTTTAAAAAAATGTGCAAAAATATTTTAAAAAACAACTAAAAACGATTTCAAACGCGTCCTAATTTTCTTGACATGAGATATTTCCAGAGACAAGGCCCACGAGATCGCATACGAAGATTTGCGCTCCCGCAAGAGGACAAATCAAAGCGACGAGTGAAAAGCCGGCTGAGCCGAGCCGAGCCGAAACAGAGAAATTACAAAGCGCGAGAAATGAGAAGAAAACAGACTCAAAAAAGTTATAAAAAAAAAAAAAAAAAAGGCCATAAACCGGTCGAGCCGGTTTCTAATAGAGCGTGACCGTACGGCACATGGTAGGTCGTTTCCCTGGCAGTTGGTAAGCATTTAGTGTGCTCTTCTCTCTCTATCTCTCCTCCTTTCTCTCTCTAAGCGAATTTTCAGTCCTGTGCTCTGCATTTTCCTACTTTATCATCATCATCACCATTACACTACTAAGAATTTTCTTAGTTTGGCGCTCATTGAAGGAAAAACAGGTATTTTTATCAGCTCGCAGCTTTAGCTCAAACTTTCTCCAATTTTTTTTTTTTGTGTAATTTTTTTTTATTGGGAGTTTCAAGTTTGTAACATGAAAGAGAGTTTTGTGGGTTTTTTTATTTTTGGCTAATTTTGCATTGTTTCTCATGCAGTGACTCGAGTGTGAAATTCGTCTTTTTCGATAGATTTTCAAAATGGAGTATGCGTTATGCTAATAAATTCCATTGGGTTTCTCTCTCTTTTGTTTTGTTTTGTTTTGTTTTTTATCCATCTTTTTACCATCTTCTGAATCTCATTTTCGGTTTTCAAAAAGTGCATCAAAACCAATGCTCTGCGTCTGAATCTTCTTCTTCTTCTTTTTCTTTTTCTTTTATATTGTTCATGAAATTAAATATTAATTGCTTTCTGGGAAATGGCCTAATAAATGGGATTTGGTCTGTATTTTAGCAATTTTTTCCCAAAAACTTAGCAAGCATTTTTTTAGAATTCAAATCAATCCCAAGTTTTCTTTTGCCCAATATATTAATCACATTTTTCTCTGTAAGATATGTTTTATGACTATCTTCTTCTTCTGGGTCAGTTTTTTTATTTTTTTCGTTATCTTAATTGCACATTTAATAGTCTACTAATGGAATTCTTAAACACCCAATTTTGATCTCCAACAATAACATTATTATTTGTGCTCTTTTCAGGTCTAGAAGCATATATTTGTTGTGAAACATCCGTCTCAGTTTTGGTTCATTTATTGTGACCAATCCAAGCCCGTGACCCAGTGATTGGATTCCCCTCCTCTGGCTCTTTGCATCAACACTTCCCTGTAAAAAATCGTGTCAGACCTCAATTCCCATTTATGAAAACCAGGTCCCTCTCCCTCTCTCTCTCTCTCTATGTATATATATACACACACACACACACACACGCGTATATATATATATATATTTTCAGAAAATGGCACCAATGGAATCTTGTCCACTTCTTTCTTTGACACCCCTTTTACTGGTTTTTTCTCTCAGGCTACCTGTGGAGGAGGTCTAGTTCCAAATCCACTACCCAAAAAAGAAAAAAATAGAAAAGTGAAGACCCTATTGAATTTGGGCAAATGGGTATTGGATAAGAAAGTTCAATTGTGTATTTCAAAGTGGGCTTTGATAGAATTATTGGAATTTGGGGTGATTTTGAATTTTTACCCAAAAAAAAAGGAAAAAAAGAAAAAAAAAATGTTGGAGAGTGAGCTATGTTCTTCAAGAGTAGTATCGCCGTTGAGAGAGGAAAGTGGGGATGAAGAGCTTTCTGTTCTTCCGAGGCATACCAAAGTGATTGTGACTGGAAACAATAGGACCAAGTCCGTTTTGGTGGGTCTCCAAGGTGTAGTCAAGAAGGCTGTTGGTTTAGGAGGCTGGCATTGGCTGGTATTTTTTTTTCTTTTCTTCTCTATAATTATTCCTTAATCAATCTATCGTTTGATCTTTTACACATTTATTTGGTTCTTCTTTTTTTTTAATTTGTATTGATCCTTCTTTTGAGTTGAAAATGCAATCTCCTTTATGAATGTAGTGGCAGTAGTGCCATCCTTTTTTTTTTTTTTTTGGTTTATGTACAAGTTTAAGGTTTGAATTTGATTAATAAATTTAAGATGATTAGTCAATTTTGCACTATTAATTGCATAGAATATTATATTAGGGAATCTTTTAATCCCCTAAAAATTGAATGGTCACGGAGCGTAGTAATCATGAATCATGGGAATAATGTTTTTTTGTGTTGTCGATTTTGGTCACTGTTCATGAGTACTAAAAATTTCGAGTACGGAAATTGTATTATTGAATTAATTATGATAAATTAAAAGACGGAAAAACAAATAAAGATAAAGAGAATATTATAATTTGGTTTTGATAGATCCATTCATTGTTAGAAAGGATTGTAGATAAAGTTCTGTTTCTGCGGCGCGTGGCTCCAGTCGCGGTAAATCTTGGCGCGTGTTGTGCGTGTAATGCGGCAATTATCTTGTCTGATTTTGTCTTTTAGTGCCGTACAGTAGGGTCTCTGAGTGGCTGAATATGTGAATATTTAGGATTTAGGGATTTTTCAGCAAAATAAAAAGAAGAGATTTAGGTTTATGTTTTCACAAGAGAGAGAATTTATTATTAAACAGAGAATTTATATAATCTGTGGCCGCAACGCTTGGAGAAAAAGCTGACCAATTAACCCACAAGAGAAGAATTATATGTCTGACAAAGTGTGTTGACCTTTTTATTTTTTCATGTCCTTATTCGTTAGAATTCCACACTTAGTTAATTAATTTAAATCATATTTTTCTGAACAAAAATTATTTTTAATATTTTTTTTGGGATTTGAGAATTTGCTCGGAATAATTCGTATAATTTAGCTGGATATCTTGATTTCAAATATTTATCTGTTTGGAGCTCTTTGGATTGGTTCTTGTTTCAATTTTATTGTCTTATATTTGATTAGTTTAGTTTTTTGTATGTTGGGTAATTGGTCTCTTTTCTTAGATATTTTTATTTGTATCTTGCTCTTGTTCTATGAAATTTTCGTTTGAGAGTTGATGAGATTTGTCTCATAGGAATATCTTTTCTTTAATTTAGCAGTGTTTATTTTATTGTGTTTAATTTAATGATTAAGTTGTGTTTCACTAACCTTGGATATATTTTAAGATTTATGTTACAGCTTGAATGACTCAAGTTTATTTGTTATTTAAGATTATGTTGTGACACTGATAACTGTTTGCGCAAAGAAACACATCACTTGAATGACGGGCATTTATGTTAACTTCATTTAGTTAGCATATGATAGTGAATGTTGGGCTATTAAGAGACAACATATATATAAGATGAGTGACAGAAATACGTATGTTAAGATAAATGAGTGGCCATACGAGAATAGATTGCATAAGAAATGAAATTATTCGTAGTAAAGTAGGTGTAGCACCAATAGAAGATAAGGTACGGGAAGGTCGCTTGAGGTGGTACGGGCACGTCCAACGTAGATGGCTAGAAGCACTAGTTTGTGCTTGAGAGGACATTCTTATACCTAATACTAGGAGAGGGAGGGGTATACCAAGAATTACGTGGACCGACGTAGTTAGGAATGACATTCTACATCTAGAACTTCAGGAAAGTCTAATTTCGAACAGAGTTGCGTGAAAAAGTGAAATCCATATAGCCGACCCCAATTAAGTTGGGATTAAGACTTATTATTGTTGTTGTTGTCGTAGCATGTAAAAACAGGTTAGGGAAAATAAAGCCAAAATCTGTAATTCATATGTATTACATTATCTCATTAATAACGTGAAAATTTGTAATTTATATGTAATTTATGGCCTGGTAATTTCTGCTTTCACTTTTAGAACCGTTGTCTGTGTTTCGGGAAGTAATGGCCTGGTAATTGATTTGGAAACAGTTCCTAAATAGTATTTGATTGGTATTTTACTCGGTTCTTTGGGCAATCGTTATTTCGTATTTGCGAGTTAGTTATCTTCTCAGTGAATGTAGTTAGGATTAAGTTGAATTAGAGCAAGTATTTATCTTGTTTGTGTGTTTGTGATGCTTTAGTGATTCATTAGAAACAAAGAGAAGTTTGTTTATTAAGGACAAGGAATGGTTTTGCCATGCAAGGTCCTGAAAAACGGGGTTGAAGTTAAGCTTCAACGGAATGCCTTGAGTGTCCTGGAGCATCCAACGGGGAACGAAGAAGACGATTTTGATTATGACAACTCCAGTACTAGCTCCGAGATTGGTGACAAAGATAATGATTTCTGTAAGTTTGTTCCGATAACTACACATTCACTTCTGCTTTGTCATAGAAATTGATTGCATTTGTTAAGGAGTTACAAATGCCTCGTTCGTTTCGCTGATTTGAGTTTAGAATTCGAGTTGAGATGTGATTGTATGTGAGAGCTTTTTACTGTAGCAAAAAAGTTAGATGTGATTGTTTGTGAGAGCTTTTTACTGTAGCAAAACTCGAATTCTAAACTCAAATCAGCGAAACGAACGAGGCCAAAGTTTCAAACATACTTTCCTTCATGGTTCTGATCATGTTTCACTCTAAGCAGGTAGCAGTACTGAGTTCCACAAGCATAGTAGGCCAAGAGTTAGGCATGTTAAGTCCTCAATTCTGTCAACATCGGCGAAGTCAATAAACCGCGGAGGTGGTTACAAAGAAGTCCAGTCCATCCACACATCTCGATCGGTAAGATTTTTTGGATCGATTTGTGTACTAAATAGGCCATTTGCATTTAATTTTTAATACCATGCATCATTTGCCATGCCAATCTTCTATTCTAATAGCTTTATTTTCAATGATCAGAATGTAAACTTTGCGAGGCTAGGGACCGACTCATTGCGGAGATATTGCAGATATTTCAATCTTGTAGGTCTCACTGACTTTATGAACTTGGCTTATTGTATTCTTCAAATTGGAAATTCTTTGTGAAATTTAGTGTTGTGTGTCATGTAATTAGGCAAGCAGCCATTCAAATCCATCCAGGGAACATATGATTAACATGGTTCAACGGCATTTTTATTCACATCAGGTCTGTTTCACACTCTTAAACCATATAATATCAAATGTAGTAGCCAAAAAAAAAAAAAAAAAACATATAATATCAAATACAGGCTTGTTGTTTGCACATCATATTGATTATCTGTGCTATTTGTTTTGTTGCAGAAGCCATTAGATGACATGCCGGTGATCACTGAATTCGTCCGAGCAGCGGCCAAGAGACGGAAAACGGGAGATTTCCCTGAGAAACACAGAGAGCGAGAGCTTTAAGAGTCTAGAAGCTGTGTAATATAATTCTACATATACTACTCTCTCTAACCTTTAGATAAAACTAACTGTAGAATGAAAGTGGAAGAGTTTGATTGTCTGATCATATTTAACTCTCCCTTGGATTCTAACCTTGTAGTAATATTGGCTGATGCCTTGATAGTATTAATAGCGTAGATTTGATATCTCATTACTTATCTGGTATTTGAGCATATCGTGATTGTCTAAAAGTAACACGCTTCTTGGTCCTTATAATTCTTATTTGCACTAACGTATAGATTATAGAAAAAATTTGGCGGTAGAGCAAAAAAAAAATTAAAAAAATAAACTCAAAAGAAAAGCTGTTACTAATGAGATCTTATTCCTGTTTAATTCCAACATGATTTGATTTCTTTTTAACATCTTGGCTTGGATTAGGAGTTGGATTTGGAGTCTTGATGTGAGATACAGGATGGGGGTGGGCCCAATTAGTGGACATATCTCACAATCTGTCGAGGTGTGAAGCATTTATTGTGAATACAGAAAGAGAAGAGGCATTTGTGTAAATATTAAGGTTCCGTGTTTAAAATTTAAGTTTTATTATAATAAAAAATTTTAAAAAATAGTCATATTTAATTTTTTTTTATTATAATAAAATTTTTTTACATAAAATTACATTTAAAGTTGAATTAAAAATTTAATTCAATAAATTAAACGGACTCTAAGTGTGTAAACTACTAATCTTTTAAAAAAAATTTAGCCTACAAGGCACTGAAAAGAGGAGAAAATTAGGATAAATTTTTAGTTAGACGAACAACAAAGTTTATTCTTTATCTAGTTAGCAAATAAAGTGGTTATTGGTTTTCATACAGCCATCAAGTCATACTTCAAAGTTGAGTAGAATACCCGAATAAAAAAAGTTCCATCATATTGGCAAGTGAATGTTTTTAGGTTATCAGTTCAATTGTCCTCTCAATTTGCAGTGATTTAGCAAATTACCTTTACAATTTTTAATGGACAAAATGCTAAAATCATACAAGATATTAAATTATATAATCACATTTAAAAACAAAAGTTTTCTTTAAATAAGTTAGATTCCCTTACTAAAAGATCAATTATAATCATACCGGACAACATGTGTTTTTCTTGCCAACTTAGCATAAACGACATTAAAATACATGCCTACGTTGGTGACTAACAAGTAGTCACGACTAATATAAATAACAATACAAGGTTAGTGATTTGACCCTTTACAGAAAGATAAAAATAAAAATGAAAGTACACATATTTCATGTTGTATTGTCATTTGATGTCACGGGATCTTTTGGTACAGTGGCTAATTAGAAAACTCGATGTGCTATGCTACCAATGAGCCGCTGTTACTTTTCTTTTCTCTCTGTTATGGGGCTTTGTGTAAGCTTTTTCTTTTGCATTCCGTGAAGAGTCAAAAGAATTCAAATCAATGACGCTCTCCCTCTGCTTCCCCTCTCTCTCTCTCTCTCTCTCTCTCTCTCAATTAAAAAAAAATCATTACATATTATATATTGTCGTTTGCAGAATTGATGCTGTTTTTATTTTTTTTTATTTTTATTTTTATAGATGTTTAATTTGTTGATTTAAATTTTTAATTTAGATTAATATGTGATTTTATATGAAAATTTTTTATTATAATAAAAAAATTAAATGTGATTATTTTTAAGAGTTTTTTACTGTAGTAAAACTTGAATTATAAACTTAAATCGGTGAAATGAACGATGCCTTATAATCATTGTAGTCTTGTAGATGATGTGACCCTTTTAAATTTGAGAGAAATAGATAAATAGGCCAATACTTGAGATAAATTAAAATTAATAGGCCAATAGTTTACATAAGTTAATAAATATGTCAAATTATTATTTTTGTCCATAACTTGTCTGGTTATGAACCATAACTTGACAAGTTATTGTCCATTTTTATTCATAATTTGTCTAGTTATGAATCATAACTTGACAAATTTATCCATAACTTATCTGGTTATGAACCATAACTTGACAAGTTATAGTCAATTAATTTTTATAACTAAAAGTTGACCTATATACTTTCTTAAGCTTTTCATATTAGCCTATTTTCTACTATTTTCGTTTAAATTTTAATCCCAACTTGATGGTGCTACGCATTCTAGTGTCGTTTAGCCAATATTAGTCCCTGCAAGTACTTTGTGCAAAAGCAATTGGTTGCCATCCTCTTTTTAGAGTCTTGGTTAAAAAATAAATAAATAAACAAGTTCCCTAGAGTTGAATCATGGATGTGAGATTTTTTTTTAAAAAAAAAAAAAAAAAGGGGACGTCCATAGAAGAAAAGTTGTCATTGAACATAATTTGTAGTTTCACACATTAAAAGTTGACTTGATTTTGAGTTCAAAGTCTTATTATAATGTTTGCGTGCGTGAACTAGAAGATAAATTTTGAGATTCTGATGTTCCTTTTTTTGGTTGATAGATTCGGACGTTACTCGTTTCTTTGTAGAAAATGATATCATCTGTCAATTGTTCCAAATTCACGGTTGAATGAATGATAGTCATTCACTTGTTCAGCCATTCAAACCCAAAGAAAAATAAGTCAGAAATAGCATTTGCATACACTAGCGGGACGTTGAAAATTTGTTAAACATTATGATTTCGTGTTTTTCTTCACTAAGATTGACTTGTCACGTACGAATAAAAGATAAAATTACAAAAGGCAACGAATATTTCACTCTCTGTTAGTTCACCAATTCATCCTAAAAGCTTAAGCTATTAAGAGGTGAACCAACAATAGTTTTATATTTTAACACTCCCCCTCACGTATGAGCTGGATAATGGGCAATCGTATGGGTAAATTAATTAAAAAGTCCAACACGTGAATATTTAAGCCTGAAATATATTAAAGACCCAACACATGATGACAATTTTAAATGGGAATAAAGAGTACAATTACGGGAGTCTGAACTCAGGACATTCCACTCTGATACCATGTTAGTTTACCAATTCATCCTAAAAACTTAAACTATTAGGAGGTGGGTCAAAAATAATTTTATACTTTAACACTCAATATAAAGTTAGTTTTCTATAACACGTACATGGATTTCACTCTAGAGTAAAAATACACCGAGTGTTTGAGATGACTTCTATGACTTAGGATGTATAGGTGACGACATAGGTCTATTTATACCCTTCAGTGGGATAAATACAAAAAGTGAAATATTGCATAATAATTCTCAACTTGTTGTTCTTTTTACCTTAAATAATGGCTACATAAACTGTCTTTATAGACCGTCTAGGATAGAAACCAAAAGAAAGTGGATTATTTTGTAAATTTACCTAAAAAATGTGAGCAAATTCACTCGTGAATTCTTTTCAAAATGAAGACAAACTTCTGTTTACCAAACTCCAACAGTTGGACGTCGTATACACAACTTTGCGTTCAGTAATCTACAACTGGACCTATCAAGGGCCCATAGCAGGCCCAATAATAGGGAGAGAGAGAACTTAGCCCATCAAAAATCGAAGATGATCGTTCACACCGAGGCCCCCATTTACACGTCACATCCTCTCCTTCTCTCGAAGAATCTACTTTTAAAAGTACATTTAAAAGTACATGAATAAACTTTTATTCTTTAATCTTAATAAACACTCTTTTATTAATATAATTATTTAATTAAAAAAATTATAAATAAAATATAAAATATAAAAGTTCTGATTCGTCCACGTTCAAAAATATTTGTCTCCATGACATCTCTTGCTAAGCCCAAATATTGCAAGCCCAGTCCAATCAGTCGCCCAATGCAAAATCCACGTGCCATCAGGTCCAGCAAGTAGCGTGGAGTTAACCAAAAGACAAACGGATTTTCTCTCTCCTGTCTAAAAATTCCACCATTTTTCTTCCATGTCCATTTCTACTGCAACTCTCTTTCTCTCTCCTCTCTCTTTCTCTCTCTAGCACGTAAAAAGTGCAACAGAGCCTTGGTAGGCTATAAAGGATGACCAAACTCACTCAAACCAGTCCACCTCGTTGACAATTCCAATTCCAATTGCGCAGCCATTCGATTCTATTCCGATTCCTCTCCCCAATCCCTCTCCAGACGCTCAGGTAACAAAGAACCGCTACGAATTCCGAATTCTCTCTCTCTCTCTCTCTCTCTCTCTCTCTCTCTGTCTCTCTCTCTCTCTCTTAATCTCTTGTTGTTTACTTTCTCTCTCTAACCGGGAAATCGAATTCATGATCGGTTTGAATTCTCGGAATTCGAGATTCTTGTTTGTTTCCTCCATTTCCTCTATCTCTTACTTTTTATCGCTATTATTCGATGTAATTATACGTATCGTGTTGTTCTTCTACTCGTTTCAATAGGTTTTGTTGATATTGTACTGATTTTGATTTTCTGTTTGTTTCGTTAGGTTTCGAGGGGGGTGTGTGTGTATATGTATATATGTATATATATGTATCTATGTATATATATGTATCTATGTATTGTTGCAATTGAATTGTTTGAATAGGTTTACTCCATGCGACTGGTTGTTGTGGAGTTGGTGAAAATCAGTTTATAATTAGCTTTTGAAGTTAAACTATTAGCTGATTTAGCTATATGAGCTGTGATATTAGGTTTGTGAATATTGGTCCGTATCACGCTTATAGATTTGTTTGTTACGACCAATAGACTAAGTTCAGAATTAGTCATAATCTTGTATTGTTAGTTTTTCCTTTTAAAATTTATCATAGCAATCTTTCCGTAGAGTAATTTTTCCTCTCTTGTTTTCTTGCAAGTTTGTTTGTGTCACTTAATTGTGAATTTTACTTGAAGGAATAGCACAACTTCTGTGGGATATTATATTGCCATTTTATGACATAAAGTTTGATCTTGCATATCTTTGTCGTTGTTATCCGGGTTTATTTATAATTACTTTATTGCATTTTGTGATGAAGAGGACATGCTGCACCAAGTGCAAAAAGCTTTAAATTCGCGGCGGAGATAAGTAGAAGAGAATGGGAGGTTGCTGCTGCTGTTCCTCTAAAGGAACTGAATTGAATAGTGCGCCTACATACTACTACGTCAGTATTATACTTCCTACACATTACATGGTTTTCTTTCTTTTTTGTTTTGCGGCTGTTCGACATTTTTTACCTCTTTGTAGCTGAATATACTTATATCTCTTGATTGTGAACATTTCTTTCACGTGCACGAATTGTTCAGAAGAGTAGGGGTTGAGAATCGATAATCAGATTTCCCTTACGACCACTAGAAAGAAAATCAAGTTGGTTATATAATCAATTCAATTGTCTACCCATTGTTATGTGTTAAAGTAATTCAGCTTGACTCTTTCTGCAGTACCCAAGGTCATCGGAAGA